TCCCACCCATATATGGTAACAGTACTCCATTTTCGGCCTGACTTGGCTCTTGTAAAGGTAGATGATAGCATGTGTCAGGAACTTTGAAGAGTACAGAAACCTACCATTTTTTCAGCATATATATATGTACGAGCTCCATTTGAGATCTGGGTTGTCTATATTATTTAATGAAACATGCATTATATATATATATATATATATATATATATATATATATATATATATATATATATATATTAAATAATATTCTTGTTGTTTGATTTATTGAAATTGTCATCTTTGATAATGGCTGGTGTAAGCCGAAAGCTTAGATTGGATTTAAACATGTATCAATATGGTGTTTTCCTTTCGTCTTTCAACGTTAATGTGTTCAGACAATATGAAAGGAACTTACTTAAAATAAATACACAAAACTTGTCTATATTATTTAATGAAACATGCATTAATATATATATATATATATATATATATATATATGTATATATTAAAAAGAAGAGAGAAACCGCAAACATTTATATTATAATGTAGATTTAAAAAAATATATATTATACTTTATTTTCCATATTCTTGGTACATGGGTTTCCAGTTGGGTGACCTTCTTCTGGCAAAGAGTGGATATTTCCACATATTATTAAAAGGAATTCATTTTTTTCCAATAGGCATTCAAAGGCCGGGTACTCTCTGAGGGGATATCCATTCATCGTGACTGGATCATGAATGTAAGTAGTCTGATTTCCCCCACTAAGATAGATCTAGGCCAGAGGAGAGAACAGCTACCTGGAGTTATAAGCTGTTGCTTACGTGCACATGATCTCTTTCTACAATACTTTCTCGATAAAACGTACCTTGATTTACCGGAAGTAAAATGAAAAGAAAAATTGAAATCTTTTTTAATTACCTGAATTAAACCCATTCTAATATTTAATATCAGACAAGTGTTTGGGTTATGACGATAAACTACGTCCAACAGCAAGGCCTCTGATCAGGCAGTTTGGAGGAGCGTGGAACTACCTCTTAATTGCTGTCGTTTCCAAGTTCACTCTGACCCGGGGTGGTAGCACCTGTTAGAGTCCCATCTATGGGCAAATAGTTTACCCCCAAACTTGGGTCAAAACACTATGAATGTATCAAAACAGATTTTTATAGTAAAAATACCGGCAATACATTTTCGAAAAAAAAAAAAATTACCAGCATTACAATTAACTTTCGACAAAACCCCTCTTTACAGAAATACGTCAATGAAACCTGATCTACAAACTGATTTCTTATAAAGAATACATATTCTATTCATACGAACCTATTCTAAAAATATTACCGGCATTAAATAACCCATTGATGTGTTGATATGTCGTAAAACAAAATTAAACTAAACCTAAACAAGCGTTTTGAACATTTATGAAAACCATACTCAATATTTGATAAACATGCTGATAAAATCAGTTCGATTAATTCTTGTTACTTTGCTTGTTGTTTTCATACAAAGAACATAGAATTTCATTCTCAAAGTTTGGTGAGGCCAGAGATTATGTCTGATGCATCTCTCAGACTCTGGGTATGAACTCTTAAGTGACCAGAATTTTAGAATTTACTCAAGGTCAAGATTTGATTAAAAAAACAACAAAAAACGCTGGTAAATGCAATTTAATTAATTCTTTTTAATTTGCTCTTTATTTTCATACAAAGAAACTAAATTTGAATTGGTCAAATCTGAGATTATGACTTACGAAACTCTCACATGACACATGCACATCAGGCCTCAACTGGAAATGGAATGTTTTTCTGTTTGCCTATTCAATAGCCAGAAACAGACAAAAATTGACGCATTTTTTTTTATCAAAGATAAATTTGACAAAACCTTGAACAAAGTGTTTTTGAGAATTCAGAAAAAAAACTATTAAACATTTGACTGATTAATTCTGATTAACATTCCCGTTGTTTCCATTGCATATGAATTATTAGAGCTTGGTCAGGCCAGGGATTATGGCTTCAACGGGAAGTCGAATGTGTTTTTGTTTGGTTATTCAATAGCCGGAAACAGACAAAAATTGACGCAATTTTTTGTCATAGATAAACTTGACAAAACCCTGAACAAAGAGTTTTAAGAATTCAGGAAAAAAATATTAAACATTTGACGAAAATGCTGATTAATTCTGGTTAACATTCCTGTTGTTTCCATACAAAAAATTAACATTTGAATTATCACAGTTTGGTCAGGCCAGAGATTATGGCTTACGGAACTGACCGGTGTGAGTGACACACGTGAATCATGCTGCAATGAGAACTAGAATAGTGAATTGTCTTTTCGTTTGCTCTGCTCGGGACAAAGTCATTTAATACCCGTTGAATGAATTGAAGTTAATTCTAACGAAACAAACAAATAACAAACCACACGGTTAATGACGTACACCCGATCGCTGTGACGAGAGAAGATTTTATAGAGCAATTTGCAGCGTTAACTATCGGTTTGAGGATGTTAAATAATTATATAAATGTTAAATTTATTTCAGAAAATGAACTTTTTTCGATAACCTAGGTATTCAACCTTTCCCCCAAAGTGTCCGGATAAACGATGGAGTACTGCATAAATAAAGCTCTTCGAATATAGGGAACTATTTAGGAAGTATAGCCTCGAGTGCGCAGAGAAGGGGTACAAGCATTCACCAACCTCAGTTGTGGAGAATGGGCAAATGAAGCTCATATGGGATATGGCTATCTTCATTGACAAGCGCTTGGAAAGAAATCGCCCTGATATCACACTTGTGCACAAGAGCAGCCATGAATTGATCCTGTTTGATAGACGTTGCAGTACATTGAGTGGAGAACACCGTGAAGGTCGGGTAGGCGATATTAAAGAGTTACGAAGATCTGGAAGGTTAAATCAGGGAAATATGCCAATCATCCGGAACTATTTCCAGGAACGCTTTTTAGAGACAACAGGCTTCATTAGGATTGAGCAAGTGGTAGCGCTGCTCGGAATAGCTCATGTGATGTGCTGAGGAAAGTGTTGCGGGGAGTAGCTGAGATATGATCATCATCGCCCGGCAGAAATATTTAAGAGGTGGAGAGGATATCAAATCAAATAATAATAATAATATAGAGTATTACGAGAAGATGCTGTAAAGTTATCAGCCAGACCAACTAATGAATATCAGTATTTTAATAACTGAACGTTAGAGTTTTTAACAAGATTTCTGGTCAGGCAGAGAAATTTTCAGCATCCTTTGTATAAAAATTAGGATAATATAATTAGAAAATAAATACAGAAAGAAAGCAAGTAAAAAAGCAAGTACATGAAAAACGAAACAAAAAGAAATCGTCCATTTTAATTCTAACAATGAATAAATACTGATATTAATCACATCAATATGATTATTATTATTATTATTATTATTTCTTCTTCTTCTTCGTCTTCTTCTTCTTTGTATTTCTGTTGTATCCAGATTTCCTTCCGGGTCCCAACCAGAGACATATTCCACTGAACATTTTTCTAAAAACCAAAAAAACAAACTGTTGTATCCTTAAAAAGGTTACAAACAGACAAAGGTGGTACTCAAGTGAAAGGAATACTAACACAGGCGTAGATGAAAGAAAGAGAGGTTTATTGTAAAAGAGAATACACTACTGACAGGGAATTGATTAGCAGTCTAGTAATTCCTGAAACAAGGATATCTACCAACCGCCCCACGAGGCCAAATGTGGCACAAGGCCGAATTTAATGTGGGGTACCCGAGCCCGTAGGCTCGGCCAAAAATTCGCTGTATAAAATGGGGTCGGCTAGCTGTTTCCCGAGAATAGACTCTGCTCTTCGACATTGCCTTGTCTGGGGATCCTCTCTGCCCGGAGGCAGGCAGTTTGACCAGCACAGCTGGGGACGAATCTAATTCCTGAAGCAAGTTCCCAGGTATATCCTGTGCTTACTACATATATCTACTGATATAGTCAGTTCACATAGGCGATAGGGAGTGTGAAACATTCCATTACAACACAAACAAACAAAAAACCCATAATATCACACACATTTCACATAGATAAAGCTCTTCATAATGTTTCAGCTGTGTTTGTGAGTAAATTTTTTTTTCTATTTCTTTAAGGCATGAGCAGCCAGGAATCCCGTCAATGAGTCTATCGGAACCATTTCCAATCAATTCGAGGGCTCCAACTACAACTAGAATTATTGATGCGCCACATTTTATTAAATTTCCATTTCAAGATCCTTGCATTTTTATATTTTTAATGATCTTCAACGATACATTGCAATCTGTAGGGACTATCATGTTAATAAGAAAGCACATTCTGCTTTTGTGGTCTTTGATCACGATATCTGGGTAATTGGCTTTGATTGTTGTTTATGTGTATAATAAAGTCCCATAACATTGTTAGAGGCACTATATCTGTAACTGGGCCTGGGTGATGTTCATACCAGTTTCTTACAGTTTACTTACCGTAAAGTTGCATATTTTCCGGTGCAGATTTTGGTCCATTCTACCATGCTGAGATTTATATTCAGTGGGTGCTAATACAAGATGGTCATTTTTTTATATTTATTACAGAATCTACATTTCGGGCTAACACAATTTTTCAGCATGTGTTATCAGTAATTTCTACTTAGCAATCATTGCTCCTGCACAACAAGAATAAAGGGTTTGGTTTCAGCTTTTAAATCTGCTCTGCGTAACCACTGATGAGTACGGGATTTGTCTACATCAGCTTGTTTGGCACGGGCAGGGTATTGGCTATGAAGCGGTTTATCTTGCCATTGTTTCTGTTTCTGGTCGGTTGTATTTGTTTTTGCTTTCTTTCTTACGTATTTTGCAGATTCAGTTGATGCATTGTGCTTTACTTGTATTTATGCACCCATTTGAATCTCCAATTATTATTATTATTATTATTATTATTATAGAAATAATAGAAACATGTCAACAATAAAAATTAAAATAACAATAAAATAATAATTACGCGATGACGTTTATTACTGTATTGATGAAACTATTTTTTAGAGAATGGAACGAAATTTTTCATTAATCCTAGAAAAGATTAATGTCAGTTTCTTTATCTCCAAGGCTATCTATCTCAATCTATTCATATCTATCTCAGTCTGTCAATATCTATCTATCTATCTATCTATCTATCTATCTATCTATCTATCTATCTATCTATCTATCTATCTATCTATCTCAAGCTGTTCATTATCTAATACTATTTTAATCTGTTAATATCTACTTCAGTCCGTTCATGTCTATTTCCTAATTTCTCTTGCTCTCTCTCTCTCTCCCTACACCCACCCATATACATACTTAATCGTCGCTATCTACAGAAGACGGCACGCCCATGCGCATGCGCACACAAATGTATAGATATAGACCAACCTGTTTGTATCCAGAAAAGAAGGTGCCTTTTAATTAGTGACTCACAAGAGGCAACTCCTAAATGCTGTTCCAACATTTTGCCTTTTTTTCCCCTTTCTTTTTTTTGCGGCCATGTTGGTTGTTGTTTTTATTTCGCTTTATTTTTGTTCCTAAAATCGCTTGCTTTTTTCCTCTTTGCTTCTTCCTTCCTTCTTTCTTTCTTTCTTTCTTTCTTTCTTTCTTTCTTTCTTTCTTTCTTTCTTTCTTTCTTTCTTTCTTTCTTTCTTTCCCGACTCCCGCGTCTCCTCCCACCCAGGTCTCCAAAGCCATGATTTAATTGGACGAGTTTTTCAACCAAAGCTGTGCGCCGGGGCCGAGCGAGAAATTTTTACGTGCGTTTCTAAATTTTCCGGCGACAGGGACATTTTTCGCGTTTAAAAGGAGGAAAGAAGAGAATGAAAAGAAATAAATCAAAATGAAGGCGACAATAATAATAATAATAATAATAATAATAATAATAATAATAAAATGAGTAATTCATTTTTCTTGAAGGGAATGTGACCATGATCACCAGCGATTATTTGTTTGTAAGTTTGTTAGCAAAAGGTAAAAAAAAAAACAAAAAAAAACAAAAAACAAACAAAAAACAACACCACTGAAAACCTCTTTTCTCCAGCCAGAAACCTCCGATGATAATTACGTAATAATAATAATAACAATAATAATAATAATAGGCAGTAATAATAGTTTTGATAAGAACGGTAGTAATGATATTAACAACTGCGACAGCAAAAATTGTATAAGTAATAGTGGATATTTAATAATTCCTTATATAAAGCTCCATACATACATACATACATACATACATACATACATACATACATACATGCATTTTACCTGTCTGCTATTCCGCGACCTTTATCATAATCAATGACAGAATCTTTGATGATGAATATCTTTGTTTAAATGTCCATATAACCACACTGAAGATGGCTCACGTGAGCCGAAAGCTTAGATCAAGGGACAGCATAATAAAAGAATATCCAAATGTTGGACAGTTTTTTTTTTTTGTCTTTATTTTCTCCCGAAATTAAAGCGACTATACGAAGCTTAGAACGGCTCTTGATCAAACATAATAGACATTCGTTGTCTGTTATATTTGACGATATATGTTTAAATAATGATCTGTTGCCCCAATACACTAAATACATACATACGTACATAGCAATTTCGAAAGAATTAATGCATTTATTATTAATCCGACCGAAATATCATTTGAATTAATAAACACACACACAGATATATATATATATATATATATATATATATATATATATATATATATATATATATATATATGTATGTTTTACCAGTTTGCGACTGGGAGGGATAATTCAAAGAAGGATATAAATCCAGGAAGAGCTCAATGTAGACTACAGATAAGGATAATAAAAAGACAGAGATATTAATTATCCATTTTGTTTAAAGTCTCCGTCTTATCAATATATATATATATATATATATATATATATATATATATATATATATATAGATAGATAGATAGATAGATAGATAGATAAATCTAGTGAGCCAGACAAACCTACCCAGGTTTCACCTAAGCGGATCGTCAGGGAAAGCTGGCTATCTCCCCTGTTTGTATTGTCATTCCGCCTTTATTGTTCGTGTTTTCTTAAATATCCCCTCCCCTTTTAGTCGTTTGAATAAATCATTACCCCACGCCCCGGTGTTGTGTTTTTTCTTGCTTATCTTTTTTCTTGTTTTTCTTTTTCTTTGGTCACGTGGTATGATTTTGATTATCGCCTATAAGTATGCCGTTTCTCTTTTGCCTCTTTAGCCAGCTTTTCTGACGATCCGCTTAGGTGAAACCTGGGTAGGTTTGTCTGGCTCACTAGGTTTATCTAGGTCTGCTCTACGGTTGTATTGAGCTCTTTTGTTAGTTAGTTGTTTACTCGTGTCGGTTTTTTTTTTTCTTTGGGCTTTAAACCTGTATCTGTGCGATTTTTTTCGACAGACTTTCATGTTTCTAGCTCTTTCTTTTTTTAAAACCTTTTTTTCCTTCGAGATTGATTTGATTATTGGCAAATCAAAAATTCGAAGGTTTTTTCAAAAAACGACTATAGTTATATATATATATATATATATATATATATATATATATATATATATATATGCAGAGTGGCCACTGAAAAACAGAAGTATTTGAAGAAATCACAACTTGTTTGTTTTCAATCTTTTTTCATTTCTTTTTTTTTTGCAGGTTATAGAGCATCCATTGGAAATTAAAATGGCTACTTATGATGTTCAGTAACGAGTAAAACTCACTGACTTTTTCTATTCCAGTCAAAGACCAATTATTCACACCCAGGGAAAACACCAGCAATCTTTTAATGTCAGGATATCTCCTAGCGGTAACATGATTCGGAACCTAATCGCCCGGTTCGAAAGACCTGGATTAGTTTGTGATCTTCCGGGAAGAGATCTTAAGCTCACTGTTGCAGCAGCGGTGGAAGCTGTACGGCAGAGTGGCCATGACAATCCATCACCATCTACCCGTCATCGCTCTGCTTAATTACGCATCGCCAGAACATCTCTTCGGAAGATTCTGAAACTGGATTTAAAAATGTTACCATACAAGATTCAAATGATCCGAACTTTACTATCCCAAGATACTCACCAGCGCTTGCAGTACACCATTCGATTTCAACACCTAGCCAGAGATAACAAGAACTTTGTGAACAACTTGATAATGAGTGATGAGGTCCATTTTCATTTAAACGGGTACATTAACAAAACTTCAGATTTTGGTGGGTACTGAGATACCCAAGGGATTACATCAGCATCGATTGCATCCCCCAAAATGCACTGTTTGATGCAGTGTTATAGTTGAAAGAGTTATCGGCCCCTATTTCTTTGAAAATGAGTAAGGTCAACCAGAAAGAATCAAAAAGGACCTGTATAGGACAATACTTGAAAAGTTTTTTACGCCCAGCGGTCGAAGATAATCAGGAAATGGTTCCAAGGCGACAATGGATTATCCGCGAGAAATTTTCGATGAAAGAATAATTTCAAAGAATGATGAATTTGTATGGCCTGTGTGTCCACCTGATTTGACGGCACCAGACTTCTTTTCTGTGGGGCTAATTGAAAGACTGGGTTTTTGTAAATTTGCATCGAACAAGTCAAGAAATTGAGGACGTTCGGAAGGAAATCCGACGTTTAGACCTGAAACCCTGTATACGCTCATGGAAAATGCTGTGGAAAGAGCCTGCATTTGTGAGCGGGAAAATGCTGGTTATTTGAGGGATGCTGTATTTTACGGGTAATATTGAAAAAATCCATTAATTATATTTCGAAATAAAATAATATAAATTAAAAAAAAGTGTTTGTAAAATTAAAAAAAAACGTGTTTGTCTTTCAGTGACTACCCTTCTCTGTCTCTCTCTTTCTCTCTCTCTCTCTCTCTTCTACACACATATATATATATATATATATATATATATATATATATATAAATAAGAAATATACCCATAAGGTGTGCTATATTTATGGGATAAAGTGCTCAATATCAGAGTTAGAGCATGAAACTGCCAGTCGCCTCTAAGTGTTGACTTTAATGTTCACTTATATATACATATATATATATATATATATATATATATATATATATATATATATATAAAATTGGAGATCTGATTCATGTGTGAACGCAATTTTCAAGCCTTCTCTATCACTGATATTGTGCACTTTTACCCATAAATATAGCATACCATAAAAATATATTTTTATCATATATATATATATATATATATATATATATATATATATACAAAGAAATAATCACACATAGAATCAATCAGAAGTATTAATGCGATTATTGGCGACATCCATCGCTAGAAACATAATATATGCATTAAAATACTGTTAATCCATAGAGCGAAGTGATCCTCGTCGGTAAACTTGATGTCTGTAGTTTTTAGTTTATTTGATGTTAAAATGCTAGTACTTATGAATAGTCCTCTATTCATCATCAGGCATGTGTTTTTATCCTTATAAAATCAAAAACTTGGAGACGAAATACTTGTATGTCGACCGAAAGATGTTTTTTGAATATCTGCTATTATTGACGGTTGTGTAAGATCTCGGAACGTGCAAATATATAAATATATATATATATATCTGTGTGTGTGTGTGTGTGTGTCTGTGTCTGTGTAAAATGTGCTATGGATAAATTGGCGTCTAAATTATGCAAAAATTAAAATGACACTGACATCTTATTTTAATGGATATATTTACCAAAGTTACACAAAGATATCTTGAAATACTAAAGAGTAAATTTATTCGATAAAATCGACATTGGCTTCAAGTACGGATTCAATACGACTTCAGAATCTCCTGCAACTCTTCTGGACGGTATCTTTGTTTTATGTGGTAAATTTTGCCACAATCCCTTGCCTTCTGTTCATCTTTGGTGTTATAAGGAGTTCTGTTAGCCTCTCGCTCAACTGCGCGCCACACATAATAACCAAGGGAGTTGCATTCTGGGGAGTTAGGTGGTCAGATGCAAGGGGGGATCTGGTCGCAAAAAATCCCTGACAGCTTTAACTCGGTTTTCCTGCTTGTGTGGCATGGTGTAGAGTCCTGTTTCCAGATATAGGATCTTCCAACAACCAGTGCTGGCACGTGTTATCCCCGAAACCTGCGACCTGGGCAGGGGAGCGTTTTTTTTTTGGTCCTGTTCTGGCTTCTGTCATTGTCTTCATCGCTGTTTTTAAAATTATTTTTTAAATTGACGTTTCATTGTCAGCCATTAGCTAATAATATATATCGTGTATCTGCATAGCCGGTGCGGTGCGGACTACGCAGGACCCCCCCCCCACGAGGATGGAGCCCCAATAGGGATAGTTTCAGCAGCGTTTTTTGCTCTTTGTACTTTTTACTTTTATTTTTCTACCTATAATAATCGACAGGGCCGGTGCTTACTACACCGAACCTCTCAGAGTTGTTGTTTTATTGACTTCCTTTGGGTGAGATGATTAAAAAAGATATCAGTATCTATCTATCTATCTATCTATCTATCTATGAAGGCCGATCAAAAATTACTTTTTATTTAAATTAAAATTCATATAAGAATAGGAGGACTTTATCATGCAGTACGAACATGAAAGTAGTAACCATAATCACCAGAGCACTGGAAAGGGTTCTAATTCTTTTCTAAATGGATTAAAAGAACGAGATATCCAGAAAAGTCATTTGCGTAGTCGACGAGAATAGTGCTGAGAGTGCTGGAGATATGAGGTGAATTGTTGTCGCATGATCCCCTGAAATAGCCACCTGATGTAAAGATTGATTTGACTGGTTCGCTTTCCAAGACTTAACAGCCTTTTGAAGGTTATTTAAAGACAGAAAATATTTTTAAATTGTATGACTCTTTTTTTTTTGAGATAACAATGATATAGTGATATGTCTTACTAATTAACCCATAACTGGGGGGTATTCATACCTTTCCCAAAGGAAAAATACGCATAAGTGAATTTAACGAACCTAAGTAAAGTTGGAACTTGGCTCAACGATTAACAATTCCGAGCCATCATCCATTACATCCAAGCATACAGCGCCTGATATTCCCAAGCGGTCACTCATCTCAGTACCGACCAGGCTCGAACTTGCTTAACTTCGGTGATTGTATGGGATTACGGTGTTTCAACGTTATATGGCCGTAATCCAGGCATAATGAAGTAAACTAGAAAAGGAAGCGGAAAGACGGCTAATAAGGGTCGTAAATAGCAAACATAGAACGATCATTATTGCAACGATTACAGGGAACTTTTTATTATTTCTTTCTTTGCTGGATAAAAAGAAAGAAAAAAAATCTTAAAATGGCAATAAGGGGATTAAAAAATGGCAAAAGGACAGTTTTTTCGGTGCCCTGAGCTCATGTGAGCAGTGATCACATATTTGGGAGACGTGTCATATCAAAGGCAGTTTGCCGGCAATTCTGTGTGAAACTTTCATTGCCATATCAGGTCTGAAGATCGTGTCAAGAGCCTCTTGAAATGTTCTCTCTCATCGGCTCTTCCATGTTAGACGGGACTGTAGGAAATTAGGGGAGAAAAATGGTAGAAGGAAGACAGAGCAAAAAAAAAAAGCTGATACCTTCTAATTTTATTTTATTTTACGTGCAATTTTTGATTTGGCGCCTTTGCATCTTTTTTTTCCGATTGGAAAAGTGGTGTTTCTGTTATTTTGCCCATTTTACTTAAGTATTTCGTTCATATTCTTTTAATCTAAACGCATTTTATTCTTTTCACATTTCTTTACTTATTTCTGTATGCTTTTCCCCTTTTCGTTTTCTTTCTTTCTGGCTTCTTTTTTCATTTTTTCTTTTTTATATTTCTTTTTTTTAATTTTCTTTCTTTCTTTCTTTCTTTCTTTCTTTCTTTCTTTCTTTCTTTCTTTCTTTCAAGCCTTCTCCAGTTATTCTTTCTTTCTTTCTTTCTTTCTTTCTTTCTTTCTTTCTTTCTTTCTTTCTTTCTTTCTTTCTTTCTTTCTTTCTTTCAAGCCTTCTCCAGTTATTCTTTCTTTCTTTGTTTGTTTGTTTCTTTCTTTCTTTCTTTCTTTTTTATTTTACTTTCCTTTACTTTGTTCATGTAATTCTTTCTTTTTTCTTTCTTTTCTATCTCTTTCATTCTTTCTTTCTTTTTTCTTCAGTTTTTTCTTTCTTTTTCCTTTCTTCAGTTCTTTCAAGCTTTCTTCAGTTATTCTTTTTTCTTTCTTTCTTTTTCTTTGTTAATGTAATTCTTTCTTTTTTCTTTCTTTTCTATCTCTTTAATTATTTCTTTTCTTCTTTCTTTCTTTCTTTCTTGTTTTTTCTTCTATACGTCTTTACTTTTTTCTTTTTATTTTCTTTCTTTCTTTCGTTTATATCTCTTTAATTCTTTCTTTCTTTGGTTTTTTTCTTCTATGCTTCTTTAATTCTTTCTTTTCTGTTTTTTTTTCGTTCTTCATTTTCTCTATTTTCTTTGGTTCTTTCTTTTATACTTTTAATTCTTTCTTTTCTGCTTTCTTTCTTTCTTATTTTTTTCTTGTATACGTCTTTAATTTTTTCTTTTCTTTCTTTCTTTCTTTCTTTGGTTTTTTCTTTTTTTTCTTTTTTTTCTTTAATTTCCTTATTTCTTTCTTTTTCTTTCTTCCCAATTTTTATGATTCTCTTTCTATTTTTATTATCCTTCTTTCCAAATTCACCACTTCGTTTACTTAAATATTTTCAATTCTCTTTTACTGTTGTTTCTTTCCCCTTTATTCGGTATTTATCTTCTGTCTTTCTGTTCTTTTCCTTGTCTTTTTCTCTATTTCCTTTCGTTCACTCTTTCTTCTCTTTTACCTTATTTTCATTTTCCCAAAATTCTTCTTCATTTAATACCTTTCTCAATCAAGAAAAATCCTTCCTTTCCTTCGATTATTTCCAAGTTTTCTTTAACATTGGACTCCAGCTGTTTTATAATTCAGACAAACCACGTATTACACTAAGTGCAAACAAAACAATCATACATATAACAGAATGGCCTAGTCTACTCGGGTAATATTTAAATTAGACTCATGTTTCAGTTTCCGTGTGGTCTGCGGAACGAGCATTTAAGTTGCAGTCCCCATCAGATGAGTTCTCTCATTTGCCAATCCTTGCTCCACGCTACACTACCCTCTATACTAAGGCTACTGACTTTATCTGCTACACTTTTATCATAATGAATTCTCGTCGTGACCCCAGTGTCAATGAGCCTCGAAGTCACAAACACGTGTCCTCTTCAGGACCGTCCTTGAGCATTATCTCAGCTAACCTTGAAGGTCTCTCTGGTGCCAAGCAAGACCTCTTGGCGGACCTGTGTATCCAACACGGATGTGACATCCTATGCCCTTCAAGAGACACACTGCCGCCGTACCCGCATTTGCCCACGAATTCCTGACATGACCCTTATTTTCAAGAGACCTCTTGAAATGGGGATATGTCACCGGTGTTGGCAATCACAACTATGGGACATCTACTTTGAAGATCCATGCACACTTAACGATCTTGAAACCTTAACACCCCAGGCAAGACTCTGCGTGCAACACTGGATGGGTGTGGTGTAGCGACAAGGCAAGGAGAATAGAGTTCTGTGAACGAATATTCGCCCTGCCGATGGTAATGGTAATATTAACCGTTTTTTTATAAGGAAACACTCCTCATTCATTTACCGAGCAGTCAGTACCTACTACCGGTTGAAATTTATGAAATCTTTTTTAAAAGAAGTCTTCAAGAAAATCGGATTCTCTTCCTAGTATTGATGGGAGTTTCCTTCCTAACTGTTTACTTGAAGTAGTGTGGAATATCAATCTCCATTATGTTATTATTTCTCTTCGAGAAGCAGCATCTTTCGAAGAAATCCCCCCCAAATAGTTCTAAAAAAACACAGTCCATATCCTGCGAAGAGATTTGCCTATATTTTTGTTAATTATTGTCTTTTGTTTAAAGTGAAAAGGTGCAAGTAAATCATAATACACCTTACTGCAAAGAGCCTAAAAAAGCAAACAGAAACGATAGATAGATATGAATAGATTGAGATAGATAGATAGATAGATAGATATGAATAGATTGAGATAGATAGATATGAATAGATTGAGATAGATAGATAGATAGATAGATAGATAGATAGATAGATATGAATAAATTGAGATAGATAGATAGATAGATAGATAGATAGATAGATAGATAGCCAGCCAGATATCCAGCCAGCCAGCCTTGGAGATAAAGAAACTGACATTAATCTTTTCTAGGATTAATGAAAAATTTCGTTCCATTCTCTAAAAAATAGAAATAAACGTCATCGCATAATTATTATTTTATTGTATTTTAATTTTTATTGATGACATATTTCTATTATTTCTATAACAATAATAATAATAATAATAATAATAATAATAATAATTGGAGTTTCAAATGGGTGCAGAATTACAAGTAAAGCACAATGCATCAACTGAATCTGCAAAATACGTAAGAAAGAAAGCAAAAACAAATGCAACCGACCAGATAGAGAAACAATGGCAAGATAAACCGCTTCATGGCCAATACCCTGCCCGTACCAAACAAGCTGTTGTAGACAAATCCCGTACTCATCAGTGGTTACGCAGAGCAGAGTTAAAAGCTGAAACCGAACCTTTTATGCTTGTTGCGCAGGAGCAATGATTGCTAAGTAGAAATTACCGATAACACATGCTGAAAAATTGTGTTAGCCCGAAATGTAGATTCTGTAATAAATATCCACCAACAAATGACCATCTTGTTTTAGTTTGCACGATGTTAGCATCCAATGAATATAAAACTCGGCATTACAGAGTGGCACTGGAAAGTCTGCAAATTTACGTGAAGGAAACTGCAAGAAACTGGTATGAACATAACGCAGACCCGATTACAGAGATAGAACCTGTAATAATTTGATGGGACTTGACAATACACAGACAGAAAAACCAAAGCTAATCGCTCAGACATCCTGATCAAAGACCACAAAAACAGAAGGTGCTTTCTTATTAACATGGTATTTCATGCAGATTGTAACGTATCTTTGAAGATCTTCAAAAAACTCACAATACAAGCTTTAGAACATTATTCAAATGTTTCTGTCAATGTCAGGTCTATGCAGCTATGTCCAGAGTAGGAAATTCAAGTGAATTTTGTACAGTGGCAATAAGAACACTACGAAGTCTATGTCGTGTTGAAACGGCTGTTTATACCAACATTGTATAAGTTATAGGACAACTTACATTTCGCTGTTCGTAGAACGGGTATTTTGCTAGTGTTTTAAAATTCTTTCTTTCTTCTTATTTCTTTATTCTGAAATGTTTCTGTTAGATGAACACTGTGTTTTAATATTCGAAAAATGTAAAGTTTAAAAATCTGATCAACAGGAGATTTTAAAAAGAATCTTCTATGATTTTATTATGTACAGAAATAACGTATTTAGTATGTATTTAATATCATCAACAAAATAATAAAATTATTTTCTTTGTTTAACATTCGAGCTTATACGCACAAAGGAAAAAGCTTTTTTTTTCATTTTTGGTCATCCATGCTTAGACAATTCCCAACCGAGGCTCATGAATTGAAACGGACTGTTATTGATCGTTCAAAAATCGATATAATTGCAAAGGCAATCTAAAACCTGCTTTAGGAATGCAACAGTATTTTTCTATGAATAACTTCGTGTTATTTTCGTGAAATTAAAACCAAAAATTAAAATTTTAAAGATGGTAAGTATAATGGTCAAATTGACTATTTCCATTCAGGAAACATTCGATATTCATTGACGAAAAGTTAGCGCTAACTTACGGTTGAAGTTTTGAAAACTGTTTTTCAAGAAAATAGGCTTCCAAAGTCCACTAACTGTTATCGCTCCTTCAAGTATTGATAGAAGTTTCCTGCCTAACCTTTTGTTTTTGCTCGTGTGGAACGTCAACATCTTGATTATATCATTATTTTTCCTTCTAGTTCCAAGCGCAACGTTTTTATTTTTACTGTTGTTGCAAGTGTCCACGTGATTGTTATTTGATAAATGTTTTATAGAAAAACTGATTAACCTACTCTACACATGAGTCAAACGTCTGCTCATGGAACAGTGGCAAAAAGGTGGGTTGTAAAGGCGTAGCGCTTCCAATCAAACGCTTGTCGCACTGAACTATTGTATTCACAATGTTCTCATGTGATTAAACACTTCTTCACTCGGCTTTTGGTTTCCAGTATTTTTCTTACAGTCTTACTGACCACCAACTATAAGAGTTATATGAACGTTATAACAACAGTCAAATTCAATGAAGTGTGGACACGATCTCCACGAAACACTGCGTCGAGATAAGATAGATGAACATTTCATGTTTCGTCATCCATCCATGAAATCACGTCAGGTCCGTTGCTTTCCTCTATCTGTCTTGCCCTCGATCTGCCCTGTGAGGGTTAAATTTTCCAATCACTCCTTCCTCATTTTGTTGAAATTTGAGTTAACAACTGATTGGAGCTTTTCAGAAATTGCATCCACTCTTCACGGGACTGTTACAGTTGTGTAGAAAGACTAACTAAACTTGTCTATACTTATTATTGAAACATGGACTCGTCCATCCGCTATGAATAAAAGGTCTACTCATGGAACGGGGGTGGGGGGCAAAAATGGGTCGTAAAGGCGTAGAGCTTTCCAGTCGCCCGATTGTCGCACTGAACTGCTGTATTCTCACTCCGTGTTATGTGATTAAACACTTCATCACTCAACTTTTTGTTTCCAGTATTTTTCTTACAGTTTACTAACCAGCAACTATGAGCGTTATATAAACATCAGATGCACCATCCACAGACATGAAACATTTCATTTGTCCCGGAAATTTCTCGTAAGGACATTTATATACAAAACACCTACGTACATTTCGGCAAATATGGATAAACGTGCTCGCAATAAGACGGGGTGTCAAACGGATGGTTTTCTCCATGACACCGCTTTTTTAACTGCCCTCACTTTTCGGTTGTGTTTATTTTTTTTTAAAAAAATGATGATTAAAATTGGAATAAAACATATGCATATGAAAGTGAATTTATACATTTTCTTTGTTCTTGAGAATTTACAACAAAAATAATAAACACTATTAGATTGTTTATTTACACTATTAATTATATTATTAATTGGAATGGTTGGCAAAACATTGGCCAATTGATTCAAACTTTATAAAATGGTAAATAATAAGGATTTTTTCAGTTGTTCACATATTTTAATAATTTAGCAAATGTTTGTAAATTTGTGAAAAAAAATTGCTTTCACATTTCTTTCTTTATAAAGTAAATAATAAATATTGCACTTCATTAGTTTTAATTGTATTAATTTTTAGAATGATGTAACTATAAAATTATTCTTGTAAATGAACAATCTAATAAATAAATAGTGTTTAATATTTTTGTTGTAAATTCTCAAGAACAAAAAAAAAAAAAATTAAAAAAAATAGATTCACAATTCTATCATGTGTTTAGGTTTTATTCCAGTTCTAACTATTGATTCTTAAAACAATAAAACATTTCTTAAGAGTGAAGATAGTTAAAAAAGCGGTGTCATGAAAAAAACCGTTCCTTTTGACACAACGTCTTTGACTACATTTCTTTCTTATTTTATTTGCTTGTTATAAAGTTGTTTTCTCTTTCACACACACAAAGAATGGTTTGGTTTTATTCACTGGCTGTATCGCATAACACCCTTAAAAATCAGGAGGTCAGTTGAATCCTCTACCTTGGTTTCAGCCTTACGGTATCCTCAGATGATCTTTATCAAATGATTCTTAACGCTTCATTAAAAAAAAAAAAAAAAAAAAAAAAAACAAAACAAATAAAAAAACAAATAAAAAAACAAAAAACAAAAACAAAACAAAAAAAACAAAACAAAACAAAGAATGCTATAATATCTTTTTTAAAAAATAAATAAACAAACGTTTGTTTATTTATTTTTTTTTAAATAATATAACGCTCATTGTTTTCTTTTTCTTTTAAATAAATCATTAAGAGGTCATTTGATAAAAATCGCCCGAGTATACTGTAAGGATGAAACCAAGGTAGCAGATTCAACTGATCTCCTGATTTTTAAAGTTAAATGTTATTTTTACTTTTATTCTATTTTTTTCACACGTGTATTGAGCACATTTTAATACCAGTTTCCTGGTCTGATTTAACTCTAACCATTAACCTTTTATGTATTATATATATAGGTAACTACACTCGTCTCGGAAAACCTTCGTTTTTTTGATTTGCTAATGATCAAATCAATCTCGAAGGAAAAAAGGTTTTAAAAAAAGAAAGAGCTATGAACATGAATGTCTGTCGAAAATAATCGTACAGCATACAGGTCAAAAGCCTAAAGAAAAAAAACCCGATATGAGTAATCAACTAACTTAAAAGTGCTCAATACAAAAGTAGAGCAGACCTAATCAAACCTAGAGAGCCAGACAAACTTACCAAGTTTTCACCTAAGCGGATCGTCAGGGAAAGCTTTCTTGGTAGGTTTGTCTGGCTCTCTAGGTTTGACTATATATATATATATAGAATTGGTGTCGACGGAATAAAATTCCAATAACCAAAAACACTATTCTTAAAAAAGTGCTCAATACAGAGTAGAGCAAATATTATTTATTCAAGCCTTATAACATAAGCATTTTATAAATTCACTACAAAAATAGCCGTTTTGTTTCAACACTTCTAGTGTCTTTTCAAGACACCAGAAGTGTTGAAATAAATTGGCTATTTTTGTAGTGATTTTATAACAAGTTTATGTTATAATGCTTGAATAAATAATATATATATATATATCACTTTTCCTTCTAACGTACTTTTCAGCTCCTCCTACAGTTTTAGGGCACATTGATACCAATCTTCACTTTCAAGCAGGGGGACTACATCGCCTTGTCTCAAAGTAGTTTAGGGAATTGCTTTTAAAAGGTTCCAACTGCATTTAACAACGAACAGTTGATAAGAATAATTCCCTCTAAAAAGGAAACACAATCGTTGTGCTGTGTTCAATTGAACTCGGGTTATTCGAAAAGTATTTTCGTGTAATTAAACTGAGAAAGCCTGGTTGAAAGCTCGTGATGTACAGAACAGCCTATGACTGGCAATGTCGTATATCCACCATATCAAATTTTACGGCATAACAGCCAGAAGAAAAGTAGGTTTTTAAATCAAAATTCAGAAGATAAAGCAGCAAGGCATCGTAGACTGACGTTTATAGTTTGGGAACATTTTCATCTGATTTGATTAATTCACATTCGTCCAGTTTTCACGGACGAATATGTCTCTAGAGATTACCCAGCGAAGCATTTTGTTTGAGCCGCCTGCAGATTCAAATAAAGCATGGCGGATTTTCAGTTATGCAGAGGAGAGCACTTTACGCTGCGTCTCACATTATTAGCCACTTCAGATTTTATCGATTAATACAATAAATACTTATTAGAATCTAAAGATTTATTTGCTGAATGATGGCGACATCTATGTGCGCAGTCAGATTTAAAGTCGATTCGTTCTGCGCACATAAGCATATCTGGACTGGAGCTTCTCAGTTTCTCATTTACCAGTCTTGGCAGAGTTCAAAAACGTCTACGCGGCTTTATGAGCGATTCATTTTTTCTACTGTACAACCACTACCCCACAGACGAAACGCTGCAAGCCTTTTACTATTCTATTGCTATTTTCGTGGAAAATTTTCTGACAAGTTACATTCATTAGTTCCACGAGCTCAGATGTTCACAGCTAAGATCTGAAATGCTACGTACGCTGGGGCGAATCATCACCATTCCTTTTGAATTCCATTAGTGAGGAGGAAGTTTCATTCAGACTGATTCTTCTCAAGAACCACTAATTCGTGTAACAGACTTCCGAGTGAATGCTTCCCCGGTCGCTACAATCTTAAACTCTTCGAGTCAGCCATTATCTTTCTTACATATCCTTATAATCTGAACGTCTTACCTACTCCTCTTAAATTCATATATCAACCTCATTCCGTAATCCTCTAACTTGAGTGGCTCTTGGGCCTTGTATTGAGTAATGAATTTCGTAAAAATAATGTAAGCAAACAACTCTTACTACAATTTTAGGCAGAGGGAAGTACGGTGATATCAGTGGTGATATTCAGGTAGAATGACCTTGTCTCAAAGTATTTTCGGAGGTTACCTTTGAAAAGGTCCATCTGGTTGGTTGGTTTCTTGTTTTTGTTTAGCGGCATATCAACACCTTTATGGATTATTTAATGTCTAAATCTAAATATATTTACGCAATTTTATTTTTATTTTGAAGATAATAATAGTGTTAGTGATACAATACTAATTAAACTCTAGCTGGAGGGAGATGTGGTGGATTCATACCTTTCATACATGGATATCTGCGCGTGTGAATATAACGAAACCAAATGGAATTGAAACTCAGCTCTCCGATTAACAATTCAATGACGTTATCCATTACACCACCCACACATCAAGGCTTATAACACCTGGTATTCCCAAGTAGTCATCCATCTAGGTACTGACCAGGCTCGACGTTGCTTAACTTCGGCTATCGTACAGGAACTGGGGTTTTAACCTGATGTGGCTGTATGACCAGATAGTTTGAGTTGGATAGCGAAATAACAGCAAAATTGACATAAAACAAATAAATTTATTTATCGACATACGATTCCCCCCGTCCACAATAACACTAATACACGTAATCTACATAAACCCAAAATTAAAAAAAAATTAATCAGTTTGTCTGACGATCGCAAAAGCGTGAAACCCAGGGTCACAAACTCACATCAATCCAACCAAATATGTTAGCTCTATCTTTGATATTGAGCGCTTTCTAATAAGTACCGCGCATATAATATATAAATAATTATATATATATTTATATTTATATACACACACTTTTCAAATATAATTCTCTTTTAGATTTTTTGAACAATTGGAATAAAGAGAATGTGTGTTGCCTTAAACTACTTTGACCCATCTCCTTCATGTGGTTATATGAAGGAAGGGAAATATAGTTTTATGCTTTTTTCAAAGTAAATTAATGAAGATAAGTCGGTCTTTGTTTTTTCTTTTCCAGTGTCTTAGATTTTTAGCCAGTATTTTCATTTTTTTTTTTTTTTTTTTAATTCCGTAAGTATTTTAAAACTTTTCGAGAAAGATGAAAAAAAATTATTTTCATTTTTATTTCCATTTTCATTAAAACTTACATAGTCTATCCATTTGGGAATGCAAGCCAGATCGGACAGGAGCGAATCTGAAACGGTATCTCTATCTATAAAAGGCAGGATGTGTGTGTAACGAATGCACGGCCACAATTTTCGACGGATTTGCACCAAAATTTACATGCACATGCTCCAAGTTAGCGGGAAGGCCAAGACCGACTTTGCATTTCCCAACTCCATCGATAGTGGAAATAATCGATTTTTTCATGATTCTACGGCAGTTTTCATGTAGTTTGAGGCCATTTTCTACTGGCCAGAGTGAGAGCCTATAGCTGGTGGCCACGAATAGGCAGGAAGATTCTACTGGCCTGCGTGAGAGCCAACAGCTGACTGACACGAATGTTAACTAGCATGCTAGCATGCAACAACAACAAAAAAAGATAGCTGCATTCGTCACAAGTAGGAAAAAATTAAATTTGCATGGCACTTTACTCCAATTGGCTCATTCGCTTGCTTAAACTCAACGTTGATTCTGATTCCGCAGAACTGGGTTGGGTGTGAAAAAGTATTTGTTGTTAACATTCTTTTTTCATTCGGTTTTTCCAGTTACGAGTCCTTTTTTAAAGTTGATCGTTTTGTGTTCATTTTGTTTAGTTCTTTTTTTCATAACAGATTTAATGTTTAGTATAGAGCTTAGAAAAAAAAAAAATTTGCAGTGTGAGATAGGCAAGAAGTAAGGCATGTAGCAACATCAGCACGGCAAAGGGCACTCCTTTAAAGACAAGGAAGGGCAAAAATATTTTAAGTCAAGTGATAGTGATTGCTGTATGAGTCGTACGATTTTTGAATCAAGCACGGGCAACGCCGGGTCATGCTGCTAGTTCTATAATAATATAAGCAGTACTATCAAATACTACTAAATACTAAAACAATATTATACTTTTGATATGTGTCATGTCTTTTCAGGACGCGGGTGATTATGACTCTCCACGACTTCATGTCCCTTGCTTGTTGCTGAAGTAAGTTTAGACCTGCTATTCATTTATTCAAACTTATTAACTCGCTGTTTCTTTTTGTTAATCTCGCTTTGACTCAACTCTGCGCGTGTTAAATTCATCGAGCTTTCTTTCCTCATTGCTCTTTAATCTCAAATAGACGAGGTGGTCGAAATGAAGGTAGGGGCCGGAATTTTTTCATAGTTCTATTTTTTTTTAATTATTTTTTGTAATACTAAGTAATGAAATGATTTTTCCTAGATTGGAAGGAACCGCCATTTTCTATTAAATATTCAAAAAATGTCCTTTTATCTTTTAATTTAATTCCAGGACATGGCATTTTATTTGAATATTTAATAAAAGTGGTGGTTGGAATAAGAATATTCTGGGCATTTCTGCGCCTTCCCCCCAAAAGAAGAATCGTCCTGGCCTGTTTATTTGAAACTCAAAGAATGCTATCCACAAATTACTGGCTGTTTTTTTATTTTTTAATTTCTAGCTGTAGTTCCCTTGTATTTCTTGTTCTCTTTTAAAACTTCCTTGTTACTCATATGCTCTGTCCATGTCATTCAGAGTAGGTAGACCCACCCTTTAGTTCTCGTCTCCATCTGTAAGGAAATTGTCCAATATTCACTGTCAATATTTATTTGCAATCGGCTAATATCCGCATCTTTGTTGATATTAAAATGTTTAAGCCGTTGTGCTCTCCATCCTTCCTCACGCGTCTATCGATCCGAGTAAGCTTCAGGGGTTTTCGAACTGAAGCATTTATTTCATTCTCGGGTTAGTTTGTTCCCTTTCCACGACAAATAACAATAATGTTAGTATAAATGTAAATAAAATAGAAATTATTCATTATCACGTAAAGATCTTATTATTTGATGTGCTATATACCGTCACAATGAGTGCGACCAGGTTTCTCCACAAACTCTTTCCTCATTAGGTGTTATGGGACCTTACCCATAATAATAATAATGGACTATTCCATACTTAATAAATACTGCGCCTCAGGAGTGGGCAAGGAGTCAGTAGTTCGAGTGAATCAGTAGTTCAAGTCGAGTCAAGAGTCGAGTCAGAGGCAGTCCGAAACAGAGTCGCGTTCAGACAATTACTACGACATTGGAATAGTGATACTTGTCGAGACTACATTGTTCTCTCTACTAAACCTGATTGTTCGTACTAACACTTTCTACTTCTCTGTATATATTCCTGTTTGTAATATATCTGTGTTATTCCATACCTGTGTTCGAGTTCTTCTTTATTGGTTCTGCCTTGGACTATCACTGTGGTACAAGGAACCGGACCATAACATTAGGTATCCAAGAAATTTCAACTATATCTTTTTTATTCTAATTACAAGTTTCCTTTTTGTTTCCATTTTCACTAAAACTTCCTAGTTGCTCACATGCTCCGTCTATGGTATTCTCAACATCCTTCTGTAGAACCGCATCTCTATTGTCTCAAATCTATTTACATTATTCGGACTATTGTCCTCATCTTTGTCGCCATATTTATTAGAACGTTTCGGCCGTTGTACGCTCCGACCTTCTTCAGGTGGTTGGAATGTCGAACTGATCTCTTTATTACTCTCACTGGTGTAGACTGTTCTAGTTCCACGTGCCATGTCTAATGGATGTCAGTTATCAGTTATCTACTGCTTAATTCCTCTCTGCAAGTTCTCCACTGCCTTAACCGGGTATTGAACTCACACTCTTTGGGTCCTGTCACTGGATCTAACCAATAAAGGGTTCAGCCCAACCACCTGAAGAAGGCCGGAGCGTACAATGGCCGAAACGTTATAATAACTATGGCGACAAAGATGAGGACAATAGTCCGAATAATGTAAATAGTATACATAATACCTCATTTCAGAAATATAGACAGATGCCTCAAATCTGCTCTTCATCTGTGTAGGGAGATTTTTCAAGATGTTTAATATTACATTTTCCTGTTTCTTAATACTTTGTTTAGCTTTTGGAAGGCATCTTTTTCTATTCCAATTCGCCTTCGGATTTTGATGTCACATTTTCCCTTATCATGTTAAAACACTTTCTAGATATTTAAATTGTTGTACTTGTTTGATTTTGCTATATGCAATTTGTAGTATCCATCTCGGTTTGTTCCTCTGGCTGACAAACATAATATTAAAAAAAACTGTTCCATCTTGTTACGTAGCCATCTTGTTTTGGGAACGCCTCTTGCTGTATAAAAGATGATAAAACGTGTGTGTAACATACAGAGATTATTTGACCTTTAGATTCTTTTTCTTTCGAGCCATGAGTTTCAAAGTTAATTACTAATTCCGGCTTTAAATTATGTCTTCTGCTTATTAACATGAAATTAATGCATAAAGTTAGCTTTTATCATTACGGGGAAAATTTAATTGGGATAACTCCGGGAAGTGATTACCTTGCAAAGGGTAATTATATAATAATGGCGCTGAAAATTCCTCGGCCTGACCAAAAAGGGAATGACCCAGAGCCATGAATCATACAGGATGTTCCACATATTCACCCCACAGTTCAACACGCTTTGTACGTCGTTTCATAAGTCTCTTAAAAAAAAAACATTCTGATGCTTGGTCGTTGATATACCCCAGTGTTACTAGTATCTGAATCAGGTAAGAATTCTCCCCCACTTCAAACTTCGTATAAGGTTGGACATAGGCAAGATCTGCTGAATATAGCTCACTAGAACATGTCAAATATTCTGATGATTTACATGTTTTAGTTCCACCAGTTCAGGCCTTCACAGCGAAAATCTGCCATGTCATATACACTGGAACAAACCATCCATTTCCCTCCGTATTCTATTAATAAGAAATAAGTTCAATTCAAACAGATTCTTCTCAAGAGACCAATTTTTTTTGGAACAGACTCCTGAGAGAATGCTTTCCCGTTCACTACAATCTTAATCTCTTTGTCTAGAGCCAAATGTTATCTTTCGTATATAGCCTCATAAGCTGTACTTCTTACTTCCTCCTATTACGTTAACTCAGTAGCCCTCTGGCTTGATTGGCTCTTGGGTCTTGTATTGGATGAAAAATTAGTAAAAAAAAAACAACAAAAAATGGAGTGGGTGGTTGTAACCTAGGAAAGTTTACTGAATAGAATAGTCGAACGAAGGTTGGTACTGAACGATAATACTTAGGACAAGAACAACACATATAAGATTCGTCAGTGGCGCGTAGAAGTAGTAGTCTACTGCTAGAAGTGAGTCAAATGAATTCCACAAGGAATCTCCAACTGCAGGATATCTACCAACCGCCTCACGCAGTCAGATGTGGCACAAGGCCGAATTTAATGTGGGGCATCCGAGCCCGTAGGCTCGGCCAAAAATTCCCCGTAGACCCCGTATAAGGTAGCTGTTTCTCGAGACGAGATTCTGCCGTTCGACATTGCCTCGTCTGGTGATTCTCTCTGTTCGGAG